TTGTCTATCAAAAGTAATCAGAGAGTAGACACAAATCTGTAAATAAGTTTCTTGCTAAACTTAATCATCATACCTCTCTGTCAGGAATCTTTGGCATGATGGCGGTGTTTTTCTCAGGTTAAAGACCAAGAAAGCAACAAGCTGACTTTGCCAACCAGGCCCTGGAACACTGCCAAGGATGCTTTCCTGAACATGAGAAGGACCCACTGGCCCAGGGCCCAGGCCTTGGAGCCAGAGAGCAGCTTCGTTAAAGGGGACACAAGGTTTAGACATAAGCAAGCTGTTCTGAGCCCAACACAAGAATGCGTATTAGCTTTCCTCAGAAAATTTATAGGTGCAGGAGAAATGCTCATAGTGAGCAGATGTTACAGCACAGAATTTTAACAACAATAAAAGTTTCGAAAAAAGATCTTTCAAATATCATTGAACACCAAGAATATATTGTATTAGGAAGATATTTTTTTTTTAATAAAAGAAGAAAGAAAGGGTAGAAGAAAGGAATGGGGGAAGAAGAAAAAAGGAAAATTTTCTTTAAAAAGTTTACATATTTTGGTAGCATACCATATTTAATCATAAGCCTGGAAAGATTAATATATTCAGCCTCACTGACCAAATAAGTACCAGCTTTCGTAAAGAGCAAGAGGCAGTGCGCTCTGTCAACAATGGTATGAAAGGTTCTTCCTTTATTTTTAACCCCCAGATTCTTTGTGGAAACATTTTTTTTTTCAATGGTGGAAAAAGGAGAAGAGTTGGTGAATAGGAAAGCAATTTCATAAAGATTCATGAAACCATTCAGTCAAAAATTTTGATTTCTAAACCTCATTTATATACTGATTCAAGAGTCTGAAGCATGCATCTGGATCCAGTGTTTATAAATCCTGATCTCTATTTGAATATAACCATTCAAGCTTACTGCTTAGTAGGGGAGCCTAAGAAGCATTTTGATAACTCTTCTTTTAACAGTCTCATGAATAGTCTTCAGAAGTTAGTTTCCATAACATATTGCCAAGGAGTATCTTCAAACATCCCTATTTCATGATTAAGAAACAGGCTGTTTTTAGGAGGTGCAGTTAATAGTTCCAACATAGAAGATGAAGAGTGTATCTGGCAGACAGAACACACCATAAATCGTCACTGATGTCTGGAACAGCAGGTTCTCCAGGTGGGAGTGTAATGAGGACAGGGTGACCAAGGACCCATGGGGTCAGTCAGCAAGATATGACCGGAAACACTAGAACCACAGTGCTCTAATGCCAGATGGCAATATGGTAAAGGTCTTTCTTATCAAAACCTGTGCCAACTAATAAGCACATCTGATAGTGACCTCATTTCCACTTTGTGCAAGAAGTAAGAATAAGCCAACTGTACCAGGAACATACAAAAATACTCTGACCAACAGAAGAAGAGAAGGGTGCTAGACAGCTAAAACAAGCTACTAGAGCAGACTTAGGAAAAAAAAATGTGTGTATATGGTGTGTGTGTGTGTGTGTGTGTGTTTATATATACACATGTATATATACATATACATACATATATATACACATATACATATATATACACACACACACACACATTGTTTCAATATATACATAAAATTTGTAAACACTGACAACACACAGGCCTAGAATCAGTTCTTCAAACCTCACTGTAAAATTATCTTTTTTATAGGTGTTCTCTATACTTGTGCTAAATATGTGCAAAATCACACAAAATGATACACTTCAACCATTAAAAGTAATCCTCCCATGGAAATTATTGAGATAATGGTCATTTGGCTTAAAGTAATGGAGCTTCCCTGAGTTCTGCTGGCTCACAGTTTTTGGAAGACAAGAACAGCTACTCTTGCTTTAATCAATCTCTTTGATTTTGTGTAGCATCCCTAATTCTCACCAAGCAAAGGGGAATCAACAAAATGGTAATGAGTTATAAAAGTCTTACTACCTCTAACATGAAGAGCCTGGCAGGGCAAGGCAAGAACTGTATATGTGTCTAATCTAAGAGTGAATTCTAGGGCTTTGGTAAACTTGGATTCCAATTCATTCCCACATTACATGGTCTTGAGAAACTTACATAAACTCACCATGTATCTATTTTCTACCAGGCACATAGAAAATAGTTGGTGCTTGCCTTGCATGCACAAGGCCCTGGGTTCAATCCCCAACACCACACACACAAATAAATAAATAAAAGAAAATAGGAGTCTACGAGTTTCAACTGAATAATGGTTTTATGGTTTTACCCATAAAACAGAGGAGATTTAGCTGGCATATCATCACTGAAGGACGTTTAAATGTTTCCAGAAACTGGCCCAGAGTGTTTGGTGCAAAGAATATAGGGACCACAAATTGTAGGTGTCAATGAATCTTCTACCATGCCAAAGCTCATCTTGAAAGGGACCATCTACTTTTTCTGAGAGTCAGATACCTATACCATACTAAGGCCTTGCAGCCATAAAAGTCAGGAAAGGTAGCTTTTTGTCAGCCAAGAAAGCTACTGCAGCTCAACTGTAGAAGAGCTTACCTGGGGAAAGGAGACTCAGGCTCTAGACCATAGACTCCTAAGTGCTTTTCAGCTGCCACTCATATACTATTTTGCAATTTAGCAGATTACTGGGCTAAGCAAAATGATACATTACAGTATTATGCTCCATCATAATATACAATGCTGTTTGCAAAGGAACTGATCCATTTATTCCTGGACTTATTAATCCTATCATTTGCAGGTACTTTGATAGTCACAAGCAATACAAAGATGAGCATATCCTGCTTCCTATAGGCTGAATGTTTGTGTTCTCCCAAAGTCATATGTTGAAATCTTAATTCCTAAAATAATAATATTTGGAGGTGGGGTCTTTTGGGAGGAGCCCTTATGGACGAATTAGTGGCTTCAAAGAACATCTCAAATATGTCAAAATACATTCTATTGCTATATATAACTAAAAAGAACAAAAATAAATAAATAAATAAAATTAATAGAAAAAAAAGAATGTTCCCAAAATTTGTTTTGACCCTTTACCATTTAAGGGCATAGTGAGAAGGTGCCATCTATGAGAAAGTGAAACTCTCGCCAGATAATGAATCTGTTGGTGCCTTGATCTTGGACTTTTTACCTTCTAGAACTATGAAAAATAGATTTCTACTGTTTATATCAGAAATTTGTTTTTCTTTTGTAGTGCTGGGTGTCAAACCCAGAGCCTCGTGCTGGCTAGGCAAGTGTTGTAACAATGAATTACATCCCCAGCTGATTTCTGTTGCTTGTCAACTGTATAGCCTATGTATTTTGTTATAGCAGCTCAAATGAACTAAGACATTGCTCTTTACCCTCCAGGTCTACTGAAAAGAGAGAGGCAGATCACCATACTGTCAAAATATAACACCATAAGTGTAGGATACTCTTATCAACTAAATAAAAAAGGTAATCAAAAATCTTGAAACAGAATAAGGTATCAAAAAAAAAAGGCTAATTTTGGTTATATCTTGTTAGTGACAAAGAGGAAATAGGGTATACTCTAGCCATAGACAGAGTCTTATAAAAAACAAACAAACAAACAAATAAATAAATAAAAGAAAATAGGAGTCTATGAGTTTCAACTGAATAACGGTTTAACCCATAAAACAGAGGAGATGCACAAAGAAATTTAATATATTTGAACAACAGCAGCAACAAAAACAAGGATGAACAGGAAAAACTTAATGTGCCTAAACAATGGTGTGAAGATATTTGTAGCTAAATCCTATGTGTATGGAGAAATGGATGATAAGTGGGAGAGGTAGATTTGAGTCATACTGTTTATAATCTTGAATATTACCCCAAGTAGTTTGGGCTTTGTCTTGAAGGTTTAAGAAATATAACTCTGAGGCAGCAGGCAGATAAGATTGACAATTTTAGAACAAGGAGGCTATTATAATAGACTCTGTAAATGCAGAGAGGGCTCAAACTAAGTGTGTCAGTGATATTAAGGGAGTAGGAATAGAGGAGAACAAAGAAAACCTTCCCAGTTTCCATGACTGTCGGTTAGAAGGGCTATTTGGAGAGAGATTGTGTTTGCAGTTGGGAACATTTTGCATGTAAGGTTCAGTTTCCTGATTCATAAAATGAAGATAAATAAAAAATAACCAAACTGGAATCGGAGTTGTTGCAAGGATTAAGTAATATAATAAACAAAAAGAACATAATATTATTCTTTGTGAGCAGAGATGAGGAAGTGTGGACCCAAAGAAAATCTGATTAGAAGAGAAACATTTGGGAATTTCTGGCACATGGGTTATTGTTGGACATGATGGAAAATATAAGCTCAATAATCCTACAATTTGGGTCTAGAACCAAATTGGGGCATTAAAATGAAGGCAAGAAAACTATGAAGGTCTGATCCAAGTGTGGGAATCTTGAGAAAACAGCTTTATGAAAAAAATAAACAGCAAACAGCCCAAAGCACGAATTCTGCCCAGAAGCTGGTAGGATGGGAGTTGGAGTGAGTGGATTTAACAGTCAGGTGGCCATGGGTACTCTCAGCACAGGAGACTCTAGTGGAGAGAGGGTGAAACACCACCATTGTTCATTTAGGAATGTTGCATTTTTTAGGCATATTTTGATAACCCTTTTACTAGAGCATTAATTCTGCAGGGCTGGAAACACTGAAACTTTACTGTTTTCCAGGAGTCAAAAGGAATTTTCTTCTCATTTAAATTGGAAAACAGAGGGACTTGGGGATAAGACTGAGAGAAAATTACTGCCATCAGGATTCAATTGCTATATTTTTTTCATAGGTAAGAGAACACTGCGTTTTTGGGGGGAAGAGAGAAGGGGCAATAGGAACGAAATACAAAACAGCACAAACAAACACAGAAGCATTTTTGTAATAATGCAGAGAGTACTGCTAACCTAGCACTGCCAGGAGAACAAAGGTGAATGCTTTTGGGACTCTACAGCCACCTGCCAAGGGCTATTCAAGATGCACGTCTACAAGCACTTTACAACATTTACAACATAACCACTCTTACCTTCCTTTTGATATCAGTGAACTGGGAAAACATTAAAGACCAATAAAATGACAGCTCCAGGATGTAATAGTAGTGAAGGTCAGTTGTGAGTGGCTGAGGATGAAAGAAAAAAGGAAAAGATTAATAGTTAATAAGGAACCCAATCTGTATGCCAAACATCTCAAACTCAGTGCTGAAAAGTAACAGGGTCCTATGCCTTATGAATGCAATTCCTGCTTATTCTCTTTGTGATAATGGAGCTTTTAAGGGTCCCTTTAATCCACAGTTCCCTGGCATTATTTTCATTTCATCTTAAAGCCCAAAAGCATTAATTAGCATGAATATTTGATATCAAATTCATTATTCAGTTTAATAATAGCATTTATGGTTCTTTCACATGAGTAACTGAAAATTCCTTAGGCAATCTGAAAAAAAATATTCTAATGTATATGCAACAAACAAAAAAACAAACAAACAAAAAACCCTATGGCTGCTATCAGAGTACAAAGTACAGGGACCTTGAATAGTACAGAGGATAGAAACTGGATTATTATGTGGGTCACCGAGCCATAGTTTCGAGTTCTGCATGAATCAGGAAGCTTTCTTGTTACTAGGAAATGTTCAGTACATTTAAAATATCAAAAAGAATGATTCAAAAATATTTATTAAATATCAGAGGAATAGGAAGACTGCCAAGCGATACCAGACTAGGAAACCAGCCAGGAAACCTGAGATAGAAGCCCAGCTCCACAGCATTGTAGGTATAAAATTGGGCCTTATTTACTTGTAAAATGTGGAGCAAGGGGTGATCTCTTATCTAATTGCCTCCGAGGTTCAGGAATCAGAGGGAGGGCTCAGAAAGACAATGAAGTCTAAATCCATAACATGATTTTCAAAAACATGTTGGTGAGCTGTTTTGAGTTGTTTTAATAGAGTTGTAATGAAATGTTTCCCATTATCAGAATGAATGAAAAACCTCTGATTATCATCAGGCAAACATGTCCATACCCTGCATACAAAGTAATACTATACACAGTCAGCGCAATTAAAGTTATGTGTTCCGTACCCTGATGATATATAACAAGTTGACTATCACAAGAAAATGTCACTCATTTAATCAGTATCACTATGAATGGGCATCAAGAAAAGCAACTATCCCTCTCAAATTTTTGCAATAGAGTAGATGACAGAATAGGACACTTTCTAATCAGCAATCTTTAACTCTAAAGGACAGTGAATGAGCATTACTATGGACCAAATGTTTGTCTCTCTAAAATTCATGGGAAAGCCTAATTTTTCACTGAAGCCTGATAACCAATGTGATGGAATCTGAAGGTGGACCTTTGGGAGGTAATTAGGTCATGAGACTGGAGCCCTTATGTATATGAGCACTTCTTACAATATTCTGTTATGGCTGCCTCAACTGATAAGACAAGCATCAAGGTTTTCTTCAGCTCAGCATCACCCTTGAGAGAAATTATTTGTCACTGAACTATCCTTTTATAAACTGAAGGCATTAGCAATGAAGGATGGGTATTCAGGGCAGATGTTGGTAGCAATGCAGCCAAGAAAATAGGGCCCTGGAATTTGACCTTAGAGTCAAGGTCAAATTTCAGTTTTAATGAGATTCCCTTAACTCAGCACCATTACCTGGAAAAATGCCCCAGAAGGGTCATAAGGACAAGTTAGTTCATCTCCAGAAACTTCAGAAATAGAACATCACATTATAATTACCATTTCCATGGGTTGCTCTGCAACTGGCAAAGCTCACTCACATGTTAACTTTTTGATTCTTATGAAAGTTCTAAAGGATTGTATAGTTGGCAGAAAATAGCTTAATTAATTAACTGAGATTAAAAGGCCAAACCCAAGTCTCATAGCTTGTGAGTCTCCATGACCATTGCAGAGGGGCTTCTCATGCCCAACCTGTGTTCCTTATTACAAGCAATACAAGGGCTAGTTGAATGCAAATTTATATTATTTTAATCTTAAAATGTACACATATATAAAATTATTACATACAAAAAATACACATGCTTATACAAAAGGAGCATTGTGTACTTAATAAAACTGAAGTAGACCACTACTATTTCATCTAAATATATGTTTAATTACTTATGTAGTATGTATGCTAAAGATATAACAAATGTGCATCATGAGCATGCTCAATTTTTGAAAGTGCTCTGAAGGATTGACATTGACTCTGACCTGCAATCTACCATATATGTTTACAGAGACACAATTACATACACAGCCCTGTATTTGCATACATGGTAATTTTATGCTGCTTAATTTTTTTACCATACACACAGAAAGCCTTTTAAAATTCATATATGGCATTTATCAAAGATTATCACTGTTCCCACAAGAGATCATGAATCTGCCCTTGATTTTGGGAGCTTTATACTGAATTATCCAGTGTTAAGAAATGATGCCTTATCAGAAGACAATCTTGACCTGAATTTGCACCTATGGAATCTTTCCTTTCATATTAATGATGTTTCCTATTCTTAAACATAGTTGTATCAACCAGACCCTCAGACTTTTATGCTGAATCTATAGTCTGTCCATTAAATAAATTGCAGCTACATTTTGGACCATAATCTTAGCAACTCATTTTCCCAGAAATGAGCTATTTGTCAGTTTCAGCCATCAATGTGAAAATTATTTTGGACTATAGTATAGTTAAGAAGAAGAGAAGGTATTACATTTCACACAGCATTTGTCTCAATGTCCTTCATGTTACAGAATTTATCTCATAAACACAGTGCATTACAGTAGCTGCCATGCCAACATTCCAGTTCAGGATTTTAGGAGCCTTTAACATCCTTTTATAAGTGGAAATTTAGATATATATGGCTTGTGCTGCTCAGTGTACCTTTACAAGATACAAAGAAAACCTCAAATGACAATGTTCAAGGTAGATAGCAAAGCAGCAGTTCGGCCCTAGAGTAACAATTGTGTCAAATAAGTGATTGGCTCTAACACTGTTGTAGTCACTATCAGATGTCCCTGGAATGCTCTGCTCTCCCTAACTATGTCATGTTGCTTATTTACATTCTTTTCTAATCTGAATAAACTACTTGAAAGAGATGGAAGTGCAAATTGGAGTTCCATTTCAATGTGTTCTTAGCTTTAAACTTGCTCAAGGAGCATCCAATACCAGGCCTTAGCCCATGCTGTGAATCTGTGTGTAATAGAGAAGATGTGGAGCATGCTGGGCCACATTAACCCTAAGCATACCCCAAAGCCCAAATGCCTCTAAAGAGATAACTACAAAAGAACCCCAAACTCAGAAAATCAAAGTTGCTTAATGTATCTCTTTGTCACCAAAATACCTAGCTGCATTTGCTTTTCTTATATAGCATATTCCCAAATGAACTAGAATTTTCTAGAAAAGTCCCAGCTTTGATGGTCAAATATTAACTGATCTGGGGTTGCAAAAACACACACTGATATCACTGAATTCACATATAGATACAAAGGTGTTTTGGTGGGCAGGGATTTAAAGTGTTCCTGGCATATAATTTAGTCTCACTTTCAGTGATGTTTTCTTGAGTTGCAGGAATAATCAATCCATGTGTAATGGTACAAGTCCATTTTTCTGCACTGAAGGAAATGACACTTGATTTGTATATTCAGAAGCTGCTTCTAAGCTACAAAGTGAACTGAACTCAGTGTGCCTCTTCTAGCTCTCCTGCTTAAGGTGAAGGCAGGCCTTAGACTTCAGACTTCCCTCAATAATGAGAAGCCCATTGGCTGCTACAAACAGGAATTGTCCACCCAGTGAACTGACTGCATCCTATTTAGCAAATATAAACTTCCAAGTTTACTCCATCTGCAAAAGCAACTGGGCTTTGATTCTGAACTTCATTAAGAACACAAAAACTATTGTCCACACTAAGTCATGTCTAGCATCAATCATTAGGGGCGGGGCTAAAACACAAGTGGCTGCCCAGCCATGCTTGAAACCATGAAACTGATGTGAAGAAGTTAGGGAAGGAAGACAGAAAGACCTGCTTACCTGATAGGGATAGTTGTACCAGCAGTGCCTTGTATTCCACAGCCAGGGGGTCTGAAAAAAAAGGACAAAGAAATATGCTTTACATGTTTTAGAACACTGATAAGAGATGTTTATGAGGGCTCTTGGGATTTCAATAATTTACTGGCATGAGAACTGTTACTTGTTAAAACAAGTAGGTAAAGGAGATTAAAGCAACTAGTAACCCACCATACCTTCTTTGTGATTCATCTTCTAAACTCAACTGGTAGTATTTCAGGTCATATCTGGCATGACATTTTGCCTCATGCTTTTTTATATTTTGCTGGTTACTTAGACATATCCCTGCAATGTAACCAGTCTCAACAGCAGAGCCTCCAGAGCCTCACCAGGACCAGTGGTAAATCACCCATCTCACTTATCAAAGAATACAAGTTTAATACGTTGTTGTATTTTTAAAGTTGTATAGATAATACATACTGAGGAAAACACAAAAGATAAAGAAAAGGGCAAAAAATTTAAATAATTCAAATTCTCATCACCATTACCATCTTGAAGTATTACCTATTTTTGATCTTTTTTTTCTCTATGTTACATACGCATAAATATAAATATAGATTTATTTTCAAATATACATATATGTATGTTTTTGAAGAATGAGCAAAGCTCACCAGAATCTATTTTAAAGTATAATACAAATATTAGTTATTGCTTTTTTCTCTGATAACGTTATTTATCTCCACAATTAATTGAAAGCCTCTAAGGAAAATGATGCACTAGGCACATGTTTATGCCCCAGCATCAATGCTCAAGTTGACAGATCAGCATTCATGTTCTGAATGCTGATGAGAAGGAACACAGAATTAAATGCAAGACCTAAAATAAACCTAACAGTATTTCTGAATGTATCAGTCCCATATCCAGGGACTGGGTGTGCTTGCCCCCTAAAGATACAGCAGGAATCTCTTCCACTATGTCCATCCCTTCTAGTCACAGGCAAGAAAGCAGAGATCTCAGAAAAATCTATAATTCAGAGAGCTCCCTCTCCTCTGCAAGCTTCTTGGCTGTTGGTTTTCTCTTAAAATCCCAGCTTCTCCCTGAGCATATCAGATGTGCATCACTTAGACCTGCATGGGTTGCAGGCATGCTATCTGACTGCCTGCACAAGCAGTGGACAGGTGTCTATGTCTCACTGGGTTCCTGCCACCTGAAGCAAGGGCAAAAGCCTGGACACTGTGAATTTGAGGGCCTACCAGGGCCTCAGGTCATCTGGAAAGCTGTTTGCCAAATATTTGAATAATAAGTTATTTCACATATAATACATGTTCACATATACCCTTCTCTCTGACAGTGCTAGATATTAATATGAATTTCTAATTAAAAAATATAGGCACAAAGGATCTCATGTTATGCCCCCCAAGCATTATGAGATAGAGGAACAAATTATCTTTTCCAATTTACAGATGAGAAAATAAGAGTTCATGAGAAGGTGATTCTTCTTATCTGTTATATGGAATCAGCATCCCTAGTCTAAATAAAAATTCAAAATCTAGAATGTTCCAAAACCAAAATTTAAATATTATTTTAAATCTGAAATCTGAAATACTTATGGTCCCAGATTTTTGGATTCAGGACATTAAACATTTAGTTTAACACTAGTGTATGAATCTATAGCATATAATGTTACACATTATATATAACTGCTTTAATTTGAATTAATACTATGAAGTTATCATTTATCAATTTCTTTCATCAATTTTTCCATTGACAAAATTTTTCTACATTTAAAGTTTTTTTCAGAATCATTTCCACATTTATTTGATGTCAAAATCTATATAGTCCATAATGCAAATGAAAGGATAATAATGTAATTAAGAACATAAAAAGCTAAAATATTCAGACACTATCAAAAAACAATGATGACTAAAAACACACTGAAATCCTCAATTTAAAAGGGCAGGTCTAAGGCTCAAATCTTTATCACATTAGATTAGGCCCTCACTTCCCTAACAAGAATCCTACAACACAAGAAATAAAATCAAGAATTAATAAACTGGATGAATTCAATCTAAAAAGCTTCTTCTTGCAAAAGAAACAATGAGGTGAGAAAAGAGCCTACATTTTTGGAGCAAATTTTTGCCACATGCATGTCAGAGCACTAATTTCCAGGATATATAAAGAACTCAAAAAACTGAATACACACACACACACACAAACCCCCCCCCCAAAAAAAAACAAAACAAAACAACAACAACAAACAACAACAACAACCAACAACCCAATCAATAAATGGGCTAAGGATCTGAACAGACATTTCTCAGAAAAATATATAAAACTGATCAACAAATATATAAAAAAGGTTCAAGATCTCTAGTAATTAGAGAAATGAAATCAAAACTACTCTAAGATTTCATGTCACTCCTGTCAGAATGGCAATCATTAAGAATACAAACAACAATTAGTGTTGGCGAGGATGTGGGGGAAAAGGTACACTCATACATTGCTGGTGGGACTGCAAATTGGTACAACCACTCTGGAAAGCAGTATGGAGATTCCTTAGACAACTTGGAATGGAATCACCATTTGACCCAGTTATCCCACTCCTTGGTCTATACCCAAAGGACTTAAAATCAGCATACTATAGTAATGCAGCCATATCAATGTTTATATCAGCTCAATTCACAATAGCTAAACTGTGGAAGCAACCTAGATGCCCTTAAATAGATGAATGGATAAAGAAACTGTGGTGTATATACACAATAGAATATTACTCAGCATTAAAAGAGAAAAAAATTATGGCATTTGCAGGTAAATGGATGAAATTGTAGAATATCATGCTAAATGAAGTAAGCCAATCCCCCAAACCAAAGGCCGAATGTTCTTTTTGATAAGTAGATGCTGATCTATGATGAGGGTGGGGCTAGGCATGGGAAAAATGGAGGAACTTTGATTGGGCAAAGGGGAGGGAGAGAAGGGGAGGGAAGATGAGGACAGGAAGATGGTGGAATGAGATGGACATCATTACCCTAGGTACATGTATGACTGCACAAATGGTGCAATGCCAAATTGTATACAATTAGAGAAAGGAAAAGTTGTGCTGCAATTGTGTACAATGAATCAAAAGGCATTCTGCTGTCATATATACCTAATTAAAATAAATAAATTAATTTAAAAACCCCTTCATCAGGGCTTTAAAGCTACACAGTTAATGGAAGAAAAAAATACTTAAAACTTAAATGCAGTAAAACTTAAATGTCCATTATTAACCAAAGAGTTATTTATAGTTCTCCCAAACAAGAAATACAATCTCTATATTAGAAGTCCTTAAAAATAGTGGTTTTGGGGTGTGGCTCAGTGGTCCAGCAAATAAATAAATAAATAAATAAATTGCATTAATGAGTTTCTGACACTGAAAGGAAATTCTCATATTATTATGTATTAGTATGACTACATTATAAGAAAAATGCATGAAGTGCAACAGTAAAGAAGACTACATAAAATTATTATCAAATCATTTTCTTTAGAAAATGTATAATTTTGTTTTGTCTATTTTTCTAAAGTGGAAGAGGTGCCTCTCAAAACCATATATTTTACCTTCTCTTAGAAACGGAAAATAAAAGGAAGCAAGCTGGTTAAGGAAAAATATTCCATTTTAAACTGCTTCTTGTCAGTAAGAATATTAAAGCTATTAAATAATACATAACAAAGTATAATATAAATATTTTATTCAACCAAAAAAAGGGCAGTTCTGTCTGCATAAAAAAGTACATGACAAGAAAAAATGTTTAACATTGCTAGAAATCAAGGAAATGAAAATCAAAAACTACATTGAATTTTCATCTCTCTCCAGCCAGAATGGGGGTATGGAGGCAGGAACGAATAAAAAACACAAATAACAATAATGCTGGTGAGGATATGGAAAAAAAGGTACACTCATACATTGTTGGTGGAACCATGAATTAGTACAACCACTCTGGAAAGCAGTATGGAGATTCCTCAAAAGATGACCAGCTATCTCACTCCTTGGTATTTATCTAAAAGAACTAAAATCAGCATAATATTGTGAGACAGTCACATCAATGTTTGTATCAATGTAATTTACAATATCAAGTTACGGAACCAGCCCAGTGCCTGCTGACAAAATAAATTAAAAAAATATGGTACTTTCTTTTTTAAAACCCAATGTAGTTGTATTGAATCATAAAGAAGAACAAAATTATGGTCTTTGCTGGTAAATGGATGCAACTGGATAATATCAGGCTAAGTGAAATAAGCCACACTCAGAAAGTCAAGGGTTAAATTTTTTCCCTCTGGAAGCCAGAGCAAAGTAAGGGGAGAAAGAGTGGGGGACAGATCCCACAAAAAGAGAGGGAGATCAGTAGAGCAGAGGAAGGGGATTGATGGGGAGAGAGGAGAGACAGGAAAAGTTAGGAACTACAAATTGACAAAATTATGTACATATAAGAATATACCACCATGAACTTCACTTTTATGTACATCTATAAAGCACCAGTTTAAAAAAAAAAACAATAAATAAGTAGAAGAAAGACGAGCATAGTAGAGGAAAGGGAACAGTTGGAGAGAGAAGGGAGGGAAGGAAAGAAGCACTAGGGATTGAAGTGGGACAAATTCTATTCCATGTGTGTTTGTTATATCAAAATGAGCCACACTAATATGTATAACTATAATGCACTAATAAAAACATGTTTAAAAACTGCATGGCAATTCAAGCACCTTTTACAGAAACAGATTGCCTTTTTTTTTTTTTTTTTTCGCATGGCATTACAATGCCAGGGAATGTTACAAAGGTTGAAAAATCTAAGAACTCAATGATTCTCAAATTTTGTTTTCCAGTAGCTTATGAGATACATTTCCCTCTGCACACTCTGCACATCTGCACATACAACAAGTAATGTTGTGAAGTACTTTACAGATTTAGGGCAATTTACACATATCATCTCATTTCTCACAACTTGTGACCGTTCAAGATCACAAGTTACATAGCACACAAGGTACACAGGACAGTTTGGTCAATTCCAGTTTACCTTTCCCCCCTTTTCCAGTACCTTTTCCCT